CACAAGAGGGGCGTGCATGGGGTGATTTTGTTTTGGGGGGGGGGTGGGGGGAGGACCGGGCACTGGAGAGTGCTGGTGCTGCTGCGTCAGGCAATCAGTGGGGGCGCCGTCGCACGGGGGTGGCAGACCCAATGCGTCGGGGGCCGGCGAGCGCGGCGCCAACATCATCGCGTGCACTCATGCAGCACCCCGACATCACACCCGGGCTCTGACAAATACAGTAACCAGCGACTGTGCATATGCGATCCGGGCCGACACTCACCTTGTACTTTTTGAGCAGCCCGTCCACGTGGGCGTCAAACGCCGCCGTCGATGCCTCCCCCTGCAGCAGCTTGGTGGGGGGCTTGTACTTGATGTTTGGGATCTGGGTCCAGATCAGCGGGATGCTGCCGCGCAGCTGCGGGGGCGGTGTGCGGCGGGGGCGGGCGCGGTCAGGCCGGGGGTCTTTTTGCGTCGCGGCAGCGGTCTTCCTGCGCGCGCACAGGGCAGATTTGCTGCCCTAGTAGGTAGTCAATCTTGAAATCGCTTTGCTCCTGTTACATGCTGCCGGTCTGCACGCCTGGGCTGGTCGGCTCGGTGAACCTGAGTACCCTTGCCTCGACGCGGCCCCCATGCGGGCCACGATGGCGCAGCTGCGCCGGCGCCGCGCGCACCTGCACGTAGCTGGCCGACACCTGGCCGCCGTTGAGCACCACAATCTCCTCCGTCTCCACCAGGTTTGCCGCGGCGCCCTAGGGACCAGAATCAGGGGTCAGGGGCAGGTCGCAGTCGTGGATGGATGGGGTGTGGGGGTGTGCTGAGGGAGCAGCAGGGATGCGGGGCTCGTAACTGTGAACCGACGTTCATATAAACACATGTGCGGCGCCGACCCGACTACTGATGGACCGATGTGTGAAGGCGTGTACCACCATAAACTGCTGCACAGACGCGCGGGCAACGTTGCCGCGCCAGAGATGCCCCCTCCGAGGCGCCGCGCGGCGCTTTCGCGGCCGCACCTGCGTGTCGGCGCCACGGCGCCAGTGGCGCGTGCCGGAGCGGTCGGCGCTGCGGCGCGCGATCAGGGTGATGTCCAGCTTGGCACTCCTGGAGGAAGGGGGGTCCAGGGCGGGGAGCACGGGATGAGTCATACACATGCTGCCTCCCCCTGATGTAATGTGATGTGAAGTAATGCTGCATGCCTCTGGCGAGCGCAAACTGCGTGTGCGGCCAAGGCCCAAAAGAGCAGGGCGCCTTTCGCAAGGGCCGGCAAGCGGGCGGGGCTCGGCCCGACCGCCCTGGCGCGGAGGACCAGACCTTGCAGCGCCCCCCCCTTTCCAAGAGCGTGGTGCCACGGCGCGCGCGCCGCGCGTGCCCCCTCACCTGCCGTACGTCTTGGCCTCGACGCCGGTGATCTGGCCCACGCTGCCGAGGATCATTGTCAGCACAAACGCGTCCGCGCCCGCATCTGCATGGAAACCGCGGGCCGCACGGCAGGGGCCGTCGTTGTCACAGGCAAACAATGCAGCGCCGCGGAACGGGAGGTTGCGCGCGGGCAGAGTCAGCGGCAAGGCGGCCAGAAAGTCGGCCGCGCCAGCCCGCGCACCCAGCAGGGGCTTGGCCAGGGTCCTGTTCCAAAAGTATGAATAGTCGGCGCGCCTCGCCGGCGGCTTGGACGCCGTCGCTGGGTTGGCCAGCACGTCAGCCAGGCGCTGGGCGCTGCGGGGGCGAGAGAGGTGCCATTTCGCGCCGCGTATAGAATACATGTGGGCAGCCGTTCCGCTCTTTTGGGCTGGGCAAAGTCGTAGAGGGGTGGGCATGCAGCACTTCTGGCAGCCTAGCGAACATGGCGGCCGCCCTGCGGAGCCCACTGGGGCCATCATGGGCCTGCCAGCCGCCGCTGGGGCAGCGCTGCCGCACCTGAGGGTGAGGTCTGAGCTGTATGCAAAGTGCAGGCCGCGGCCTGTGCCCTCTGGGTTGATTGCATCACGCAGGTATGCCAGGAGCCTGGGGGGGGGGGTGAGAGGGCGCATGCTTTGTGAGTGAGCATGCGAGTGCGTCGTGTGATGTGTATGTCGCTGCATGTGTATGCGCGTGTGCTTTGCATGTGCTTTCTTGTGCGTGTGCACAAGAAAGCTGTGTTGGTGCTTATATGGGAATGTGCGTGAGATTCCTTGCATACCCGTGCGCAAGGTATTCGTGTGGATGCGCGCATGCTGCAAGACGGTGTGCGTGAGTGCAAGCTTGCACATGCATGTGTGGGAGGTTGGGCTCCAGAGATGGGCCAAACGAAGAGGGGGGCAGCGCGCAAAGACAGTGCCAGTGAGCATGACGGGCACCACCAGGCGCTGCTGTCCCCTAAAACCTGCCGGGCAGTGTTGAGCAGAAGGCACGTCAGCCGGCAGCATGCATGGCAGCCCACCTCTTGTCGCCGGCGTCAAAGTTTGCGTTCTTGGGGGTGATGAGCCTCGTGTTGATGACCTTGAACACTGGTTGGCCGTTCAAGGTGGCCACCTGGGCGGAGGGGCCGGCATGGGTTTGGCCGGCGGATGAGGGATTGGCCACGCATGCCAGGGCAAGGGCATGTGAGGGCCTCTCGACAGTGACGACGGGGCCTACGCGCGCAAATCCCCTCTTACATAACTCTTGTGATGACAGCCCCAGGCTATCACGCATCTGCAGCTGGCCATGCAACGCTGCCGCCATAATGGGCATGCGACAAGCAGCATTGATGGCGCCATTTGCATGCTTGGTATCGTGCGACGGCGCGAGCTGATCGACTTGATCAAAACACGTCACATTCGTGCCTCCTCACCCTCTGCGCGCCCGTCACGACCGCCACGACCGTCGCCGCCCGCAGCCTGAACGCGCCGATAACCGCGAGGACGCGCTCTGCGCTCGGCCCCACCGGTGCCTGCTGCGTCACCTTCACCTCGCCCGACGCCAGATCGATGGAGAGCGTCTCCACCTTGCCGCCGACCGCGGCCGCAGGCTGGAGAGCAACCAGGTGGCTCGACACCAGGAGAGCCAGCACATCGTGCGTCGGCATCGCTGCTGATCCTGCTGGTGCTGCTGCGTGCTCAAGGCGGCAGCGTCAAGGACGACACCAATTCAGGGTTGGGGATCAGCTGCGACTATCACCGTGGGAGCTGCCTTGTTTGTTGCTGCTGCCGTCGCTCTTGGTCGTGTCGATGCCCCAGTAGTGTGCCGCTGTCACACGCGCCTCTGCATCAAGCGCTTCGATCTCCGACGCGCGTGGATCCGCAGGGCTGCAGCTGCGATCTGAGTATGACTCCTGTTTGCGCCAAGAAACGTAGGCGCCGGCGCCGAAGAGGGCGAGTACTGCAATCACCTGTTGCAGTGAGCAGCGGCAGCGCGCAGCGGCATCATGCCGGATCCGGGCTCCGGACAGCGGCACAGCTGGGTGCTATGTGGCAATCAATGTGTGTAGTTTGACACGGACATGGGTGTTCGCTGTTGCCCATATTGCCTTCGCCCCGAAGCCTTTGCTCACGCGTTTGTTTGCAGCACCGCGTAGCATAGGCTACCGTTTTGGTTGGCCTCGTCGGTTGAGAGGATGTTATTGTCAATCATCTATGAGTTGACAAGTACAACAGCAGATCCGAAGCGACCACACCTTCCGAGGAGCAGCTGCACAGTACTCATGGACCTGGGTACCAGGTCGGTGCCCCACAGTCATAATGCCAGGGCCATGCCGCGCCTGCGTACAGGTATCCGTCTTAGGGCGTGCGTGTAGCATGGCGAGATGGCTTCAAAAACACTCATGGTTTGCCTGCAGGATCTACTCTTGCCTCCCCGACAGTAGTGTAGTGTACTGAGATATACGGCACGCATGGAGGTGCCACAAACTGGATGTCAATGTCGATCGTGGACAAGCTAACTGAGAAAGTGAGGGGTGCTGGTGTAAGAGGTATCAGGCAGTGTGTGGTGGTCCAGCCCATCAGCATGGACACCGAGGGGCAAGGCCCGCAGGTTGCCTGGATGCAGACAGGGATGATAAGACCCAATGCACGAGATACATGGCATGTAAATTTGTCTGAGTTCAGAAAATTGATGGGCACACACCATATTGTCGGAACCGTGCTTGCAAGACCACGTCAACATCAGCAAGAATCCAACAGCTGAGGATCCTTTGGTGATGCGCCTTCTTGCACCCACACAGCCAACAGCCACGCTGCGATAGATTGCGTTGCCCTTTGTGTATCTGCTGAGCCGGTTTTCCATACGACCTGCATGCTCACAGATTGGTGTCATTGCAAGCAGGACTGGTTGTGTCGCGCAAGCATGCAACAGGTCGTGAATGGACCAGAAGCTTTTTGAAAAATTGTTGAGAGCAAGAGCAGCTTGGACCAGCAGGGATAGCGGAGGACGACAAGGCTGAAAGTGGTACAGTAGAGGAGGCAGCGCCCAGGCTTGGCCTCCTGAGAATGTATACGCATCAGGGCAGTTTGCAACAGAGATTCCAGAATTTCCTAGACAAAGCAGACAATCCCAGTCACTCTGAGCTCCTGTACGGCAGGGCCGCCGCAGCCCTTGCCAGTCAACTGATGTCTCCAGCTGCCATCGAGCAGGTTTTCGCCTTTCTTGCCGGTGCGGATCAGGTGCCGATGAGCATCAGTCTCTTGGGCAACACAGTGCTGCATACGTTGGTTATCGAGATAACGTCTGCACGTGTTGCACAGCGTGTGCAGACAAAACGAGGGCTCGACGGGCGGGCCTGGAGATCCATCGATCTGGAGCCCCGCGCGTAGTGCGCTGGTGGAGGGTTTACACGAAGGCTTAGACGTGGTGAAGCCAGGCGTGCCGTCCTAGAAGCACAAGCTTTTCGGCACAATGCTGGGGCTCGCCACCAGCCTGCCAGCCGTCCAGGCGCTCCTGGGTGGGTGAAAGGCTTTGTTATTGCTCCGAATCAACCTTTTGACGTGGTTCGAGGGGTATGCAGCGACCTGTTGATCTGGCAAGGGGTCTCCCGTCGCATTGGAGCACGCATGGTCTATGTCATTGACACAATCTGTCTGAACGAGGTGCGCACCTCGAAGAATGCGTCAGCAGCAGGTTCTCCTCGCCAGCACGCTGCACGCAACAGCTCGAGCGGACGCGTGCACTTCTGCGCGATGCGCCGCTGCGCACCTCGTGACGGCCCGTGCGTTCCGGCTGCGCCAGGTCATGCTGGCGTCACAGCGGCGGTCGCGGCCGTCGCGGCGCGCGGAGGCGTCTGCAGCACTAGCAGCGACGCGGGCAGCAGCGGCGGCGCGGCGGCCATGTCGACCTTTGCTTTGAAAAACACTCCGCTGCGAGCGGGCCCTGGCGGGCGCTCAAGCGTGTCTGGGGCCACGGCAACCGTGTTTGGCGCAACAGGTGCAAAGGCCATCTGGGTGTGGGGGCGGGGGGATGGCAAGGGGCTGTTGGGCGGCAAGGTAGCAGCCACGAGCGGGTTGGTCGAGCCAGGTCAACTGCATGGCCAGTGGCTCGCAGCAATCGCAGCGCGTTTGTCGCAGCGCGCTGGAGGGGACAGCGCTCCTGGCGTCAGCACGGGTGCAGCGCCGCTGTCTGCAGCAGCTTGACTGGCCTTCACTCCGTGGCGCTCTCACGATGACATGGCGCAGCTGTTTTTGCACCACCTGCGTGCAAAGCTCAGACCTTTCACCGTACCCCGCTACGCCTCGCGCCGCTCCAACCCCCAGGCTTTGTCGGCAAGTACGTGGTCAACGAGCTGGCGCGCAACGGGACGCAGGTGGGGCGCGGAGCACGCGTCAGTCCCAGGGAGCCCAGCAGCGGGTCTTCCCACTGCTAGCGCGGCGGCGGATGCAATGATTGCCCTGCACGGTTCTAGATGTGTGGCGCCCGACTTGGCCATTTCGGCGCACGGACTGATCCGCAATCGAGCGCATCCAGCCCGAGCGTGCGCCCATGCGTCCTACGCCCCCGGCAGGTGGTGTGCCCCCACCGCAACCTGGAGGAGGTGGCCATGCCGCTGAGGCAGATGGGGGACCTGGGGCAGGTGCGGCCGCTCGGTGGAGAGGAGGGGGCAGCGCGGGCGCTCTGCTGTTTCCCATTGATGTTATCAAATCAGGACTGGAAGGGGTTTACTTCATTCAACTGGAGGAGGAGCTTACCTAGCGTCAGCCATTGCTGCTTGCCGGCAGGCCGGAGGGCCGTCGCGTGTAATGCGGGGGCTCGGCCGCTTGTTCCGTAGCTGGTCCGCCTGCCACAGCGGCGTGCAGGCGCTCAGCTGCGCGCGCCCTTGGCCCTGGCGCTGCGCTCAAGTGGTCTCTCCATTGCGTGGTGATTGCCCCACCAGGTGGTGATCATTAAGGAGTGGAGCATGGGGGACGACGAGATGACGCGCTACGCCCTCAGCCGCTCCCAGGTGCGCGCCGCGGTGCAACCGGATCAGCCCCGGGCTGAGCGGCGGCGGCTGCGGCCACGGCCGCCGCCGCGGCTGGACCCCAGGCTTGCAGCTCGGCTTTTCGGCTGGGTGCCAGCCGAGCGGAACGCGCTCCCTGGAGGCTGCTCCAGCACCTGATTTCATGCGCGTCTCCACCACCTGCCCCTGCACCGCACCCAGCGCTGTGTGCACATGCTGATTCCCCACAGACACACAGCCACACAGACACACGCACACACGGACCCACGGACCCCCCCTTGTGCTGGCTCACCCGTGACCCCCCATGGCACGGCCCCCCTCCAGATCGTGATCAACCTGATCGGCGCCAACTACGAGACGCGCAACTTCAGCTACGACGACGTCCACGCCACCTGGCCGCGCCACCTCGCGCAGCTGGCCAAGGAGAGCCCCCTGCTGGAGAGGTGAGGGGGCCGGGCGGCCGGGTGGCCGGGTGGCTGGGTGGCCGGATGGCCGCAGCTTGCCTGGTATGGGTGACATCGGCCAAGGTGTCTTTCCCAGGACACCTCCATCTGCATTGGGACAACCCAGCACCTCGGCTGCCTGCCCCATCACCCGCACTTCTGCCGCCATCCTTTCCTCGCCCACCAGCCCCCATCCTCACCGCCGCTCCCCCCGACCCGCACGAACCGCAGGTTTGTCCACTTCAGCGACGTGGCCGCCGCCCCCGACCACCCCAGCCGCCGCATGCGCTCCAAGGCAGCCGGCGACGCGGCCGTGCTGGAGGAGCTCCCGGGGCTGGCCACGGTGCTGCGGCCGGCGCCGGTGGTTGGTGACGAGGACGAGTTCCTCAACAACCTGCTGGTCCAGGTGGGGCAGGGTTTTTTGGGGTGTGTGTGGGGGGGGGGGGGCC